CAGCTGTCAACTGCCTTCTGATATTTGGCTTATGGGGGATCTTATCGGTTAACTGGCACGTAGTCTTCTTGTAGTGGTGATCATAGTCAAACGCGACTCCACGCCACGCCACACACTTTTACTTCAAACGGATAAAAACGATAGAAAGTATTCATAGGTGAGCCACGGAATCTTTTCGGGGATTAAGATTCAAACCTGATGAAGAAGGCCTCAAATCACTGAATATCCATCCGTTGGAGTTTATGCGTCTCAACGGTGACCTTCTACTGACTTGTAGCATTTTAAACACTCCTGCGTACCCTATTAAATACTTAATAAGGGCCAGTCCCAACACACCCTAAGGACAACACACAAAAATTATAGTCGCGACATGGCAGAATGAACTGTCGACATACCTGTTACTCTTTGCGAGTAGTCAAATCGTGGATTTTGCTGCCTGCTGAGGCAGTCAAAAAGACTTTCCAAGAGTCCTTTAAGAGAAAGCTTGACATATTCATAAGGACTCAGGACAGTATTCCCTTGTAATTTATAAATATTCCTCGTTTGTCTGCTAAATACACCTAGGGTTCACACCTAGAGGCATCGATGAGCCACTAATTAGATACAGAAGCCTGTTGAGCGAAAGCTTCCATTTCATCCTCAATCATTTGGACGTTTGAACAGTAGTACTCACAAATGTGGACAAACAAACTGTTTGTTCCCTGTAGAGGAGGGAATGCAATGTGATGAATGCAATAAGTGGTTCCATAAGATGTGCACTCGCTTAAGTCCCACCGCACGCAAAAAATGTTCGAAGCCTAACTCACATTGGCTTTGCATGTTTTGCTGTGCAAATAAGGCATTACTAATACAAGAGGCTATGAGCCTATTGGCTTTGGCCTGTAAGAAGAACGATGGCACATGCGCTGACAACACGGGCACTGGCAGTGACGGATGTGCCAGTGTAGTACTTGCCGTTACGCGACGCCTCAAACAATCGACTCTGACCAATGTAAATGAGAAATCTCCGTTAACATCAACAAGGGGAGTAGTACCACCTGGTACTGACATTGGTAACAATGCACTTTTAGTGGGAACCGACGAACTGGATAAAACCGTCACCGTTCCAAATAGTCCCAGTGTCCTGAGGGATGAAAAATGGACTACGGCACGTAGAAAACGAAAGGAAAAGAAAAAAGCTGTAAGCAGTACACAGGTAGTTAGTAACTCACTGGTGGACTCTTATTGTGAGTCACAAACTGCGCTACCAAAATCTGATGGTAAGAGTGAAACCCATCCTGGCGTGACTGAAAAGAAAAATCAAATAACATCCAATATTACTGTGAGCGAATTGCGGGAGTCAAACGACCCTGATCCCGAAATTAGACACACGCATGATTTAGAAAAGCTTGGAGAATATATTCGTAGTATTTTACCAGGTAACTCTAAAGGAGTTCTGGTCAAAAAAATGGTTAAACTAGGCAAGAGGACTGAGGACAGTGTTGAACCCCGACCATGCAGACTCCTTAAGGTAATCCTAGGATCGGAGAAGCAGCGGGATCTCCTGTTAAGTAGCGCTCGTTGTCACGACAATTCCGACATCCGAGTTAGACCTGACATGTCTCCCGAACATAGAATAAAGAGGAAGAAAGCACTAGCCGAGCTTGAAACCCGTCGGCAAAACGGTGAGGAAAATCTCCGGCTAGTGGGTTTTTGGATAGTCAGGTCTTGGAAGCAAATGCTACCAAGGCCTATGTGGATAGGCTGTTCTACTTAGGAGTTTTATATGCCAACGCTCGTAGTCTACGAAATAAGTTCTATGAACTAGAAGCACTAGTGGACAGGTTAAAGCCACTCATTGTAGCAGTGACAGAAACTTGGCTAGTCCATGACTTAGACATTACTCCTGAATTATCCGGATACCATTACCTCAGGAGTGGTAGACATTAATGTAGGAAAGGAGGTGGCGTCCTGTTATATATAAACAATAGAATAAATATCCGCTCTTCTGCTAGTGAATCCCATGATAGCGGTACTTGTGAAGTTGTAGAACTATGATCTACTATGATATTAGTACTGCTCTAATAATAGACCTAATCCTAAAATTGTAGATTTGTCATGATATAACTGCCTAATCTATAAGATCTTACGTGGAAGTCACATCATCGCCTACACCAACTCATTGTATCGTAACAACTACCAATACATGATGGTGAACAAGCTTAGGCTAGAGAAAAAACAATATATTTAATATGAATAAAAGATATAAGATAATATTCAGCAGGGACCACGTCTGCATGGCCGAGCCATGCTATCCATTCAACTCCAATTCATTCAATACATTCTTCCCGCCCTCTCCATCGTTAGGTATTTTTCCGCGTTAAATATTAAATATCTATTTTCCGAGTTGTTTCGTGTTCAGCTTTGAGGATTGTGTGGTTATGGTTCAATGCCACTACAAAGTCATTAGCTGTTGGATGCAGTACATTTATGCTCGGTGTCATCTATCGCAGCCCAATCTGCTTAGCTGAGGACTTTATTTTAGAGCACATTCATTTTTGGAGTGCAAATACCAGATGCTTGATAATAGGATACTTTAATGCACCTGATATTTGTTGGACTGAGATGACCACAGAAGGATCTATAAACTCCTTTGATAGTAGGTTCCTGATAACAATAATGGAGCATACATTAGTGCAGCATGTATCCAAACCCACACGTATTGATGTTAACCAAGGTTCTTCTCTGTTGGAATTGGTAATCACTCATGAGATTGAGGATATTGACGACCCAAATATTCTTCCACCGTTAGTGAATAGCGATCACGCTGTTTTGTCATTCACGTTTAGAACTAGGGACATGTTATATGATCAGGTTGCACCTCGCCCAAATGTATGGAAAACTAACGTATCAGCCATTCAAGAATGTGCCGCTAAGACAGATTGGTTTGTAGATACTAGCTTATCAGTTGAAGAAGCATGGTCTGTACTTAAAGGTAAGTTTAGTCTTGTTACGTCCCCGTTCATATCATACCTGGTGCCACAAAGACCGAATAACAGTCCACCACGGATAACTAAACCAGTCAGGAAACTTCTTTGGAAAAGGAAAAAGCACTGGAGTATGTTCATCTCTACTGGCTTAGAACAATACAGATCCAGTTATTGTAAGATTAGGAATACCTGTAAAGCGTTAATAAGTAAGACTAGACAATCATATGAAAAACAATTGGTTAGGGATTCTAGATATAATCCGAAACGGTTATTCTCGTATATAAAAAGGCGAACTCAGAGAAGCGATGGAATTCCATCACTTTTGGTACAAGAAAATCCGTTAATCTTGGCCGAAAATGATGCCGAAAAGGCTAGAGCTATATCGGAATATTTTAGTAAAGTATTTTCTACCGGTAATGAGGAACGACCAACGATTCATCATAACCGTGACGGCTCACTGATGGGTCCTGTAGTCATTGAGAAAGGTACTGTTTTAAGGCTACTTCAGCATCTCAAACCTGATAAGTCCAGTGGTCCCGATGATATTCATCCTAGGATTATGAAAGCCATATCAGATGAAATTGCCGAACCATTAGCGATACTATTCGACATGTCTCTGAGACAGTCCAGACATCCAAGAGACTGGAAAGACGCTATAATAAGTCCGGTGTATAAGGCTGGGAGTAGGGATTTAGTTAGTAACTATAGACCCGTTAGCTTAACTAGTGCAGTTGTGAAACTGATGGAGAAAATCATTCGGATAGCTGTTATAAACTATGTTGAAGGGCAAAATCTTTTCTCCAGAGCACAACATGGTTTTCGGAAAGGCCTATCTTGCTTGACAAATCTTTTCATTGCACGAGAAGATTGGGCTGCGGCAAAGGATCGGAATGCTCCTGTGGATGTGATTTTCATAGATCTAGGTAAAGCCTTTGATAAGTTTTCCCACTCTGGTCCTAAATTCAAACTGAAACGTTTTGGAATCCATTATACAGTCGTGGATTGGATAAGTAACTCTCTCCATGACAGGAGACAAAGGGTAAGGGTTAATGGGGCTCTCTCCTCGTGGGTACCTGTAAAACGTGGGGTTCCCCAAGGCACAATCCTAGGTCCTCTTCTCTTTTTACTTTATGTAAATGAATTGCCAACTGTAGCAAAATCATCCGTTCTACTCTTCGCTGATGACATAAAGATTTGGAGACCCATACATAGTATGTCGGATAGAATAGTATTACAGGACGATCTTAGCTCATTGGTGGCATGGTTAGACAGGTGGTCACTAGAAGTAAATCCTAATAAGAGTGTAGTGATGCAGTTAAATAACTCTGATGAATCGTATCACTATACACTACGTGGATTCGTGCTACCCAAAGCAAGAAACTATAAAGACTTAGGAGTTATATTAAGCAATGATCTCAAAACGACTAGTCACTGTAAGGCTGCTGCTGCAAAAGGCTATAGGGTATTATGGTCAATTCGTAGGTCTTTTCAGTATTTAGATGATGAAATATTTGGATTACTATACCCGATTTATGTGCGACCACATTTAGAATACGGGATTCAAGCAGCGTGTCTTTGTTTCAAGTATTAAGCAGATATGCTGGAAAGAGTCGAAAGACGAGGTACTAAGATAGTACAAAGTCTATCTGGCCCATCTTATGAAGACAGACTGAGACACCTTAACTTATTTCCGTTATCTTACCGTAGAATACGGGGTGATCTAATATTGGCTTATCGTATACTGAACGATGACTTTGGTATTAACATGTCTTATCTCTTGCTTCCGTCTAGGACCGATCATTTGAGAGGACATTCGAAGAAAGTTCAAAAACCGAGATCAAATCGTTTACGTCTGGATTTCCGTTTCTCGCACCGAGTAATGAATTACTGGAATTCTCCACCGGAACACTTAATATTAGCACCTTATGCTAATATATTCAAAACGAGATTGGACCTCCACAGTATTACAAACTGCAAGGATTAATATAGGTCGATAGACTTCCTATTCTTATTACTGAAGACTGAAGACTGGAGACCGGCAAGTATAAAAGGCGTAGTTACAGTTTCGCTATTTGGATGTGTTTGTGTTGACCTAAGTTTCTGTCCTTTTCTTGAATAAAATACCTAATTTCTTTGTATCAACTAGTATTTAAGGTGAGCATGTCTTGTATACTTGGTGAACCATGTTTCAATATCGGAACACACATCACATTCACATTTGTGAACGTGATGGTGGGTACGAGTTATATTAGGTGTTACTGGTCAAAGCGTTGTCAAACACTGAATAATTGTGGCATCGTTAAGCCGTACATTCAATGCTGAAAGGAATTTCACGTTGATTTAACTGAATAAACACAATACCCAGTGATTATTTCGATGACGAGTTCACGCTTTAGGAATAAATTGACTGAAAACAAAACTCTCAATTGGAACAATATGTTTTGTTTTGTTTAAAATGGGTTTCTCAGAGCTCCAGAGCAGAAGGGGCACTAATAAATTAGATCCTCATGGTATCTAATTGCTGATCTAGGTTCATATACTACTTTTTCTCTTAGCATACTGGAGCTCGGTGCACCATTGGTTTGGAATCAGGGTTTTTGAACTTTCCTAGATAAGTCTTTCTTACTCAACAACTCAGTTTAAACTTCAAACATTCGCTTTTCATTATCTCACTTTTGTGAAGATCACTCGTGTCGTGTGGATGCAATGAGTAGAATTTTCCTGGCAGTGGCTATCTAAGTGTGGATGTATGAGAGCATTCTAGGTGTGAGTGAACCCTGTATACCCTCGATCATGCCAGGGCGTTTGATAGCTCTTTATTTCACTGACATATGATAAATTCAACCGCTATCTTTGACCAAAAGCACGTATTGTTAACGACTCGGGGAAGAAAGATGTATGTATACCCATAATTTTTTTCGCCGATTTCAATTGATTCCATCGAACTTAGTATCATAAGTAGTTTTCAGTTAAACAAAACAAGAATTATTGGTTCAATGAAGTGTTTTGTGTTCAGTTAGTTCATTTCTAAAGTGTGAACTCTTCACTGAACCAATCGTTATTGTTTTATGCATCAATGGATGTTCTATGTTTATTCAGATAAATTAATGCGGAATTCCCTATAATGCATTTAAGTGTAACAGAACTTTGTCAGCAATGGTCAAACTACTTTTGTTTAATTTCATCTCGAGAATATTTTAACGGCGAACGTAAGCTGCACTTATTATCAAGTTGATAGTAATGTGCACTCATTGAACTTGGTTTTTTAAGTCTAGTCTGGTGGTTGAAGTATTTCCCTCTATATCAGTTTCATTCAACAATAGTTGAAAGGTTCTACATTATCAGTTTGTTGTTAATCCATAAAAGTATTTTGTGTGGACTTTCTATGTTGTTTGAGGTGTCTTACGGTACTATCGAAGTACGAATGAGATGGTGGTTTTTCTTTCAGTGGTCGCAATTTACATTAACTTGATGGATTGCGTCGCTTACAGACTACATCACTTTAACTTCATTACTCCACACTCGTAAAAGGCTTATGAGGTGAAAATCACAGGAGAGTTTGGAACTCATACAACGGATTACAATGCAAAGTCGCATGGAAGACATCTAACAGATGCATTCCAAGTGAGGGCCAGTGTCAGAGAAGATTGCTTACTCTCATTTTTTCTCTTTCTTCTGGTTGTCGACTGGATTATGAAGACCTCGACATCTGAGTAGGAGCACGGAATACAATGAACAGCTCAGAATCAATTAGACGATTTGGCCTTCACAGATGACCTGTCCCTTCTATCCCATACACGCCAACAAACGCAGGTCAAAGCAACCAGTGTAGCATAAGCCTCTACATCAGTAGGTCTCGGTATACTCAAAGGAAAAAGAGAGGTCCTCAAACACAACACAGAGAACGCCAGCGAAACAAATCACACTTGATGGAGAAACTCTGGAAAATGTGGAATCTTTGACTAACCTGAGAAGCATCATCGATGAACATGGAGGATCAGATGCAGACGTAAAGGCGAGAATTACCAGATCAAGGGCCGCATTCCTACAATTGAAGAATATATGGGAATCAAAACAACTGTCTGTCAACCTTTATCAAAGTGAAAATCTTCAATACGAATGTCAAGACAGTTCAGTTCTACTGTATGGAGATGAAACGTGGAGAACTACCACAACGATGATGAAGAAGGTGCAAGTATTTATAGAGAGTTGTCTACGCAAGATACTGAATATCCGTTGACCGGATACTATCAGTAACAGTCTACTGTGTGAGAGGACAAACGAGCTTCAAACTGAAGAGGAAATGAGGGAAAGATGTTGGAAGTGGGTAGGACATACATTACGGAAATGGTGAGAGTGTATCTCGAGGTAAGATCTAACTTGGAATTCATAAGGGAATCAGAAAAGAGGAAGGCCGAAGAACACATTACGTCGGGAAATGGAAGCAGATATGAAAAGGATGAATAGGAACTGGAACGGATTGCCCAGGACAGAGTTGGATGAAGAGTACTGGTGGACGGCCTGTGCTCCTCCGCGAGGAATAATAGACGTAAACAAGTAATTTGGATTCTAATTAAATCATCTGATTATTTGATTGCATAATCTTGTCAAACTGTCAATTGAACGCAAAATCACATTGAATTAATCCATGCAATGAAAATACATTGAAAGTCAAATAAACTAACTATACACTAAATGAATTAATACAATGAACGAGAATCACGTTAAGTCAGAAGTAGAATCAATTTATTTATATTTTATATTTAGGAATTTCATGTTTTCAACTGTGTAGTTATAATGCTAACCAATGAATGATATAACGTACTTGTGACGTAGAGGCTAAAAATATTCAGATACCATGATATCATAAATCTTAGTATTAATCAATGAGTGGGAACTACAGACTTTTCAAACACTTACCTGTATTTTGGTACTAGTAATGTTCCAACAAATTCAAGCCAACTTTGAATGTATAATTTTTTTGTATTTTTTTCAGCACTGTTTTCAACCTCTCTTCGAATATCATCAGTTTAAATTTTTATTGTAATTCGTTCAGCTCTCTTCACAAACTTCTGATTTTTCAAATGAATCGTCCAAATTGGTTTTATATACTATATTTAACTGTTATTCAATTTACCATCTATGGGGTTTGTGAAGAGCTATCTGTTAGTCCTATTGCTCAAGCGCTGCGTGTTCATGAGTCTGGAATTTTTGAATGTTCTTTCGAAAACTCATCCTATAATTCAGACTTAAGGTGGATATTGTTTGATGGAACAGTTCTATTAAATGGTAACACATCAGAAGATGGTCGATTTATTAATGAAGATGGTATCCTAAAAATGACTAATCTTACTATACCTGATTCTGGTGAATATAACTGTGTAAATGTTGAAGTTAATACCACTGTTACTGCTCATCTTAAAGTGTATATTATGCCATCTTATTTATTGGAAGGATCCATTGTTCTTGCTATCAATGGTGTTCTCTTCATTTTATTCATTTATTCAATGATAAAAACATATCGAGAACAAAATATTAAAGATCGTATGCATGCTTTCTAATGGTTGATTGTTTAATTGATGAGAAAGATTTCTCTCTCTGATCTTGTTGTTTTTTTTACATCAACTGCCATTCCTTATCGATTATTGTTTTTTTTTTGCGTGAATTTTCTAAATAATATAATTACATGTGTTATACTATGCTTTATAATTTAAACATGCAGTTTAATGCATTCAATTGTATCTGATATTCATCTCTTAGCTATGTTATAAACTGTCTTTTCAAGAAAATAGCAATTTATCGATTTTTTTGCAGTTATGAAACACATTGTTTTGTTTTTCGCGATCTGAAATCACCCTATTTTTCTTTAACTCTTAACAAGGCAAATCTGTGAATATGTTGTTGTTAATGTTGATTTTTTGGATAGTTTTAAAATTTATATTAACTTTATACCTAGTATCTAAAAATTCTGTTTTGAATTAAAGAAGAAGTTTGATTTGTTTCATCTTGTCTTATTTTTATTTGACGTAAACAAGATTCAATAAATTAATTTAACATTGATGATCTTGTCTACTTGGTAACATTATCCCAGAACTAGAGGAATAACTACTGGATGTCAGCCACACAGCATTTTTGTAAGTAGTTTTTGGCACTTGCTCTGTACTTTCTAAACCTTATGTCTAATGTCTAAAGCCTGTGGAACAAGTGGAGGGTGTGCTAGTTTCTAGGACATATGTTTTCTATCCCTTCCGTCTATCGGACGCTGGTTATCTGTAAGAAATGCTTTATTGTCGCTACATCCTACTACATTTCTACAAACTTTGAACTTATTGATTTCTAGTCTTATCACTCTTCAAATGACCTTACCATTAGAAAGGTTAGAACATATGGCTTTCTGCCAATAACTCATAGTCTTGAACCCCGTTTCCAGCTATTTAATTCAGGTAGCTAGGGAATAATAACAATCCCTTGACTAAAAGAAGAATACATTTGTTTGTGTAGATTGATCACTATGTAGTGATCAATATCATGCTAGTCTGGTCCTTAGTACTGACTGGGTTCCATGGATCAGGTTGCATTGTGGTCGATAATCTAAGTGACATGGCATCACATGTACTATTTTGATGTTACGTGGTTGGAGGTAGTCTTCAGGAAACTCTGGACGTAGGTTTCTCCCTTGTCGGCAAGAGCTTTCTTCAATCTTGGGGCAGCTGATACCTCGGGTTGTGGGACCAGTTGATATGAGTTCTAATTTCTTAGGGTGCATCATTAACTTCGAAACTGCAGGTACACATTACCGAAGAGTAGCAGGTAGCAGGATACCTAGATTCAGGGTCTCCTGACGATTACCTTTGACCACGTAATGCTAACTTAAAATTGGTACATCAGCTACTTTTATTATCTTCTTCAACGCATAAATCTTGACACAAAGGGGCACCAGATTGTATATACTCCAAACAAAATTTGTATAACGGATGGGGTACTGCCCAAATCAAAGCAGGTGGTTTTCTTGGGCGGCCGCAACCTGGGGTCTTGACCTATATGTCTAGTTCACAAAGCAATGGTACAACGTCAGGAGATGCGGTTCCATGTTAGCCGGTGACCAACGATTGGTTCATACACCATTTGTTCCCTTGGGATCCTGGAGCCCATGTGTACCAGTGGTTTGGAGTCAGGGTTTTCCAGCTCCCCTAAGTAGATCAGTGTACCTACCCGCCCGGTTTAAGAGTCGGGCATTCACTTTTCGTCCTCAATTTCGAAAACAAAACTGCAGCGCGAAGGCCATACCAGAACATTTGATATATCAGTTACATATTTCAACTTTTTGAATTGTCATTTTAATGTATTTATGGTAAAACAGTGATAAACCTTATCAATCCATGCATTCAAACTATCAATTGATCGTAGATGGAATGAAGAAAACGAACAAAATTTTATTTCTACATCATTGTCAGTGGAATCTTAATAGGTTTATAATTCAGTTAACAGAGTTTTATGTGATAATCGATTATGAAGTCATAATTGACACGAACATATAGGCCAGTGGTAACTTCTCTGACCATGAATCTGGGTAACATGCGATCAAATCCTTCAGGTAGCACCAATCCCTTCGATATTACAGGTATACCTTGCTCACAAGTGCCAAATAGTACGAAACGTAGGTCTAGCGTTTCCTATCGACTATATTCAACTACCACCTTATATCTCAGCATAACACACGCGATGTCGAGTCACCTAGACTAATGGCTACATTGCAACTTGACCGATAGAAATCAATCTACACAAAGGACATGACATTGGTCACTTCCCAGTGACCAATCAATTGTAAATAATATTTACATATTTTGTAATAGTGTAAAACAATCAATCCTTCATTGATTATTCTTGTCAGTGTAGGGTTTTTGAGAGATCACAGAGTTTTTATAGACTTGGTACCACAAACTACTCTTAAGTAGACCATCAATGAAAACTGTGGAACACTGAACAGCTGTTTCGTTTTAGTATGGGATTTCCCAACTTCCAAGTTTTCAGCTTTGATCTAACTAAGATCAGTTCATTGTACAAAGTCTATGAAAACCAATAATTTTTTGGGATATAGCGTGGCAAGCATCCAATGTCCCTGATGACAATTATTACATTCCAAACACGTTTGGATATTTTTACTCGAATAGCTTAAAATGCAGTGAAAGAGAACTCAGGTGGGGAAAACCAACTAATTACTTGACGCAGTAATTCCATAGTGAAACTTCATCATTTGAGGTGGCTGGGACACGTGTTACGTATGCCCAACTACCGACTGCCCCGACGTGCGATGTTTTATGGTGTAGGAGTAGGTTAAGAGAAAGCTAGGGGCGGCCAGACCAAAACGTGGCACAACTCCATGAAGTCACTGACAAGTGGACTGAATCATGTTGGTAGGTGCAGACTACCTGGTTGGGATCCGCGAAACGATAGCAACCGATTATTAGAGACCTTGAATCACATGTCTCAAAATCGTTTGCAATGGTGCAGATGCATTCACTTTTTGTGTTCGCTCAAATTCTAATCTTCTGAATTCTTCATGTTTCCTTTTTGTCTCCTTCCAAATTTATTCCACTGAATTATACTCCTTGAATAACATCTTCAAACCCTAATCTTTCCGATTACTACTTCTACTACTATGGGATTTGAATCGACAATTGTATCTCTGTGCTAATGTGGTATGGCAACTCGAACTGATGTACGTATGTACGAAGTTCTACGTTGCTACTGACTGATTTGCACATCTATCAATTGTCTTTTACATACTTTATGATTCCAATTCTGTTGTTATCCCAACTGCTCTATGTTTCCTTTTGTTTACTCTACAATTCAATCTTTTGCTGGCAGATATTCCACTTCTGATCACTTATAACTATCAACATAAACAGTATACACCAGGAAAATAATTAACTTTTATGCGTACATGCTGATCACTGATATAATTTGTAATTTGTGTCAAATCATAGATTTCCTTGTAACTTAAGTTTCCTTGATAAGTTATTCGAAAAAGTATACTGTCTTAGTTGAATATCATGTATAATAGGTGGCAGTTTTAATTATAAACATTGATCAGTAATTTTGTCTTATGATAGGGATTAAATTAAGATTTGGAGGATCAATTCTCTCATTTGAATCTTGAAATCTGATAACCAAATAATTGAAAATAACTAATCAGATAAGTATTGCGACAATGAGATGTAGTTTAAATGTTTAGAGTTAATCAGTAGAAAGTTGTGAATGGAAATCCTTTTGTTTAAGTCCAGTCTGTCAGAAGACTTTATGCATAGTAATCTGAAGCCCATGTGCCTCTTCAGATACTAGAGATGAGGTGGTATACGTTTGGAAATCAGAGAGAACTAGACAACTATTTTGTGCCAGTTAAGAAACCTTTAGATGTATACACTTACGACCTCATGAGAAATCAAATTGGATTTTCCTGGCTTCGCATTAAATACGATATCTTAAGACTGATGATCTGACAACCATTAGTCCGTAATTTTCAGTTGAAGTAATTTGTGTTATCGGCTATCAGAAATAACAAATAACTTTTGTTAGCAAATGGAAAGTACAGGTCATGTGTTTATCTACGCTTTTGAATGGGGTAATAACCATGTTTAAATCTAGCTTCGTTCGATATTTTTCCCTGATCATTTTCTAAGATAAAATTAACATCAATCTTCAACAGTTCACTCTATTTTGGAATCCACATTGGTTTGAGAGAGCTGAAAGTTACAAGCTTAAAGTTTACTCCAGGGTAATGGCGTTATATAACGGCAAGTAACAACTGCCTGACGAAATGAGACTGTTTAAACGGAACACTGAATTTTAAGGTTTCAGTCTGACTCCAGAAGCCATCGTTTTACATTACTTTGCAACGTTTAGTGAATCGAACCGTCGTATCACTTCGAACTAAATAGAGAACAACCAAGAGTTAGCTGTTCAAGTTTCTCAAAACATACATTCCAGATAACCAATGGAGCTAGAAAGAGAGCGCTCAGAAGCAAATAGTAACAGACAATTCAAACCAGGTTTGAAGCTTCTAACTATTTCATTAGCACAAAAGAAAAACATTAATGTGCATAGTTCAAGTGGCCATGAAAAAAAGCTATAATAGAAACAAGTTAAAACTGGTTTGCATAACTTAACAACTGTTAAGAGTCCAATAAAATGTTAAAGGTTATACAAAATGTAAGTGTTTTGTCCTATAGCCCGTCATTTATTACGTGACAAGACCGTCAATCAGAACACCGACTTATACGACTTTAGCCTTGTGCTAAACCAATGACACGTTAACCGCTACGAGCAGCCTAGAAACAATTCTGAGCCTTTATTGGTTCTTCTCATCTAGACCTGTGCGTTTGAGTCCAGCTCCCACTGTATGAATCATGTAGTTCCTAACCGTAACTATCAACTGTAGATGAACAGGTTTATAACCCTCATTTGGTCCTAGTTATTAGGTAAACACTATCAAGGTCATTTTAGAGTCGTCCATAAATTATAAATTTAGCATTTAATCTACCCAGTGACTAAAATAGATTCTATGTCATTCATTTTTGGATTATAATTAGTCCATTGATTCAAAGTAAGTATTTCTCATCTTCTCGAGGTGAACCCACTCTATCCAACGACCAAGTTTAATCACTGGAGATTTATTTTTACCATTTGAAGACAGTTAATAGTATTTCTCTGAAGTAAACTATAACACACATCAATTCAAGAAAATTTAAGAAAAGGAAACCCACTTTTTAATATTCTCTAACACATTATAGGATCATAAAGCATAAATATGCGTTACATATAAATGCTTAATTTAGTTCCCCACCCCTTGAAATGTGTTTCAATCGATATCAGTTTGTCTTAGTTACCGTCAGCACATTAAAAAAATGTGTCTTCAAATCAATACTTTAAAAACTTCTAAGAAATACCTTCACCTTATAGCACTATAGACACTTCACATTTTATTTATGGTATGTTAAATTCAATTGTAACTGATAGAAGTAATACAACATTTTTATATCCAACAAGAAAGGCAATAATAA